CATAAATTTCGCAACCCCTTCGGGTGATTGGGATAGGACTGCATCTCTATTCGGTGGGTGGGGGTAAAGGGGGGTAAAGGAAAACTTCCATTATATTATCCTTTACAGCATTTGTCAAACGTAAGGGAACCCTATAGATGGTGGATATGAAGCGTAGAAGCATTTTGCAAGCGTTTGGAAGATGTTTTTTCAAAATGCAAAACGAGCAGAAGCATCAAGGACCCGAACCTCCGTGACCATCCTGAGAATCCGCCACCGTACCAACTGCTCCATCGCCGCACATTCGGTCTTGTTTTCGGTTGGCTTATATAGACATCTCGGGGCGTTTAACACAGGAGAGGAAATGGTCCCATAACTCTGACCCCAGAATCGTTTAGCAGATTTGGAAAGCGGACTTGAGATACTCACCTGGAGACACATTCGGCCGTATACATCTCATCTCAGATGGCCACTGCGACCTAGTATCCTTCCCTTGTAAGTTCAAAATTGTATCAAGAGAGGTTCCAGAAAGCGGGAAAGGAGTGACTAGAGGTAACAGAAGAAATGTTGCCAAGGTTTGCACTGAGGCGGACGGACCTGAACATAAGAGCAAAAATTCACAACTATTCACGAAACCGTCTTTAACGTTCCCAGTTTCTATATGTGAATTCATGATCATCGGTCATTATATATATATATATATATATATATTCATTTATTAATTTATTTATTAATTTTTGAAGGGTTCGTTTCTGTCTGTCTGTCCATCTCGAAATTATTTATTACTTCTCAGAAAAAATAGAAAGCAATTCTAGAGAGCAATGCTCGATCTGAAAAGAGTGATACTTGCTTCCTTGGGTACTGCTTGGTTAAGGAATGATACAGGATGTTGACTCGAAAATCGTTCCCCTCTGAGGCTTCCGACATTATTCAGGACATGACTATTTTTATGAAGACTCTAAGTTATTTGGATACGGCCTTCCTCAGAATGAATGGAAGGCATTTCTAGAGAGCTCTGTTCGATGTGAAAAGAGTGAAGCTTGATTTCTTGAATACTGCTTGGTTATGGAACGATACAGGAAGTCGACTCGAGAATCGTACCCGTCCAAGGCTTCCGGTACTAATCAGAGCCTTTCTATTTTTACGAGGACCCTAAGTTACTCGGACACCACCTTCCTTAGAATGAATAGAAGGTAAATCTAAAGAGCACCGTTCGATCTGAAAATAGTGAAGCTTGCTTTGTTGGATAGCGCTTGGTCAAGGAATGATACAGGAAGTGGACTCGAGAGTCATACCTATCTGAGGTTTCCGACACTGATCAAAAACTTACTATTTTTATGAGGACTCTAAGATACTCTAAGTTGACTCTAAGATACCACCTTGTTCAGAATTAACCCACTGTCGATCGCGTGGCCCGTATACGGGCCACGCCCTGTCGTGCTCCTAGGACCGCGTGGCCCGTATGCGAGCCACAGTATTATTTTGTATGTATAACATTCATTTTCGATTTTTTGACCGTTTCAAATATCGAGCAGGTCTATGACCTACTAGAGAATCTTGACAGTGGTCCGTTAAATGTTTACTTCTGACATTAGTAATAAGTGAAAACAAAGTTACTACTGAGGGTATTGGTAAAGGAGCAAAACCATAGGCTGTCAACAAAAAAATTACACGCACTTCTTATGATAATTTAGGAAACATTCCATACAGAAGTATTTGTGGCATTTGCTGCACCTTGACGAGACTTTTTTTGCATGGTTCGTGGCATAAGGGCGACCTTTTTCTTCTCGTAGTTCCTTGTAGCAACCTGTGCATGTTCTCCTGCTTTCTTTCGAGCCGCTCTCAGATCTTTCCAATTTATGAGTCGTTCTTGGAGAGGAGGGCTCACTGAAGATATCTCGAAGTAAAGTTTTCACAAGAATCATTTTAAATTCATTGAGCTGAATAGTTCCTTTTGTGTCACAAAATAGTCTACACCAATTAACGACTGCTGTTTGCATGACAAAATGAAAGAAAGCTCTCAAATACCGTTTCGTTGTACGACGCACAAATGGAGAGTAAGCTGACAACTGATCGCTTTGATCAACGAATCCTTTTAGTTTGTTGTAGTCTTCAACTACTTTGGGTTTGTTTGATGAGCCACGTTCACCAACATGCGAAGTTGATATCATCATAAGATCTCTCTTATCCTTCCACTTCATACAAGAATACCATCTATATTTTGTAGGCAATATAGCTTCCCTCGTTTTAATTTCTTCTCTTTCACGAGTGGTGGAAGCTCGCGCTACGATTCTTTCTCAAAGTAGCAACCAGGTGGGTTCTTCTCTCTTAAAGTTTTTTGGAGTCCAATCGAGCTGACAGAGCTGTCTGCCGCTGTCTAAGAGACCATTCATCATGGGGAAGACGACAGTATCCGCAAGTGGTCCGGTACGTGTAGTTATGCCCACGTAAGTCATTAATCTCCATGTGTAGCCTCCTCTCGTGCAAAGTTTGAAAATCTTGATACCATATCTATGTTTCTTTGATGGTTTAACTGCCGGAAAACAACACGTCTTCTGAACGGTACCAGCGACTCGTCTATGGTTACTTCTTTTCCAGGATGAAAATTTCTTTCACAATTGCCATTGAATATGTCAACAAATTCTTTTATCTTATACAGTCGGTCACCGTCTGGTGTGCTGTTGTCACAGAAATGAAGAGAGCGCAGCAGTTGCTCAAATCGACCCCTAGGCATAACTTTGCCGGCAAATGCATGCCCATCTGAATGCACAGAGCGATGAACTTCTTCAATTCCTCTTTATTAGTGTCCACGAAGCTGGAATCTTTTTGCGACCCGTATCTATTTGTTTACGTTTCCATAAGCGTCAGAAGGATGTCATCGATGAATAATTGGAAGAAATCTAACGGAGCAGAGCATACTGACACCGCATTGCTCGGCCCGTGTTGTTGAGTGAAGTCCCACCTAGTGTCAGCTTCAACATCACTTGTCTACTTTTCGGTGTTGCTGTCTTCACTGTCAAGCGCGGCCATTGAACTAGAATCTGAAGCAGAATCTTCTCTTGAGCGAAAAGTTGCCTGCGAATCCTGCGAATCATCTGTATCGCCGCCTTCGTTTTCAGCATCGGAGTCCAACAGTAACGCCCGGAAATTTTCAACCATATGGGCATCATCACAGTAATTGGTATCCATTATCCTATGAAGAAAAATATAACCTTTACTTAAAGTGCTTGACCAACTTTATGTAAAAAGGATGTAAAGGGACTTTGCTGAGGCATCCGATGATTCGAAACATGCCATTCTCATCTTGTCTGCTTCCTCGTGCCTAGACAGTGTCGCGTTTGGAAATGATTTAGTAAAAACTCTCACCTCCCTTCGAGCAATCAGAAACAACATTAGATGTAATAACGTAGCTCCAAATAAAGTGTATGACTTAAAATCCTTACATGCCACATTAAAAGAAACTTTTTTGTCGGCTGGAAATGCTTACGAAAAAATTGACTTGCTTCTGGGACCGTGTGGCCCGCCAGCGGGCCACAGCAGCAGCCCGCGAGAAGCGCGTTCGGTCCTACACGCCAGACACGCTAAAAAGGCGCGGTCGCCAATGGGTAGACAGGAAGCGGCTTTAGGAAACTTCCTCTGACCTGAAAAGAGTGAAACGTGTCCCTTCCAAATATGGTCATTTTGATAAATGATGGAGAGAGTAGATTCGAAAAACGTACCTACTGAGCTATTTAGCAGTAATGAAACCTCTCAGGAGAATATAGTTCGAGGTGATTTTACAGGACGTTAAGGTGGGAAAGGTGACTTTCCAGTATTTGTAATAGGGTACCTGGGAGAAGCAGGTTCGTGAACATCGGTGGGAAGAGATTATGCTTCTTTTGATTTTAATATTAACACATTCGCGCCGATGGCAGCCTATATGGGCTGCCAACAGGAAGTGCTCGTGGAATGGTTGCTGCCCATATGAGCTGCCAGACAAAATTTGCCTGTCATTTCCCAACATAATCTTTTTGAATTTTGTCAGAATCAGTGAAATTGTTAGGGGTTAGCCTACACCTGATTCTCATCGGCAGAGAGAACGTTGAAAGGTAACGGCTTTATTCAAGCAATTAGCAACTGCAAACATCGTTTTTCTCGTTGAAACATCGCATACAAACAAATTCTCCGTAAACAGAACACAGTATAAAGTCTTGTCTTGTAACACTTTTCATAGCTTCTTCTCTTCCTGAGTTAGAACTTATGCGTTGGTAGTAGCCATGACAGTTTTTCGCTCTCGCTTTCCAACGGGTCTGTCGACCATTTCTAGTGTCCTCTTTTGACAGCGGGTTGAGTCTTTTTTCCCAATAACTTCTGCACAACGTCTTCCTTGAAGTGCGGAAAGGGATTTTTTGAACTTTCTTGCAGTACAATACCCATGCATTCACCCTAGAAGTTTGTACAACAATGTGGAAAAATATGCGCGTGTGGAACTCCTCCTAATAAGTGGGTAGTACGAGGCCAATTAATCCAACGAGTCCACGAATGACATGCACATGTTGTAGTCCTTTATTATTTTTGGAGCACCTTTTTCGTTCTTTTCGTCTCCATGACACGTTGATGTGCGGAACACCCTTCGTTTGTCATGTCGCTGAATGACGATGTTTCCATCTTGTGACGCTTCGGTCGTACCCTTGTTTACCTTCTTCTTTGTGAGTGCAGAAGGTAAACTTTTCCCTTTTTCTTTCCAAAAGCCTTCGAATTAGACCAACTGAGGAATACCAATTGTCACAGGAAACTCTTCGACCAGAATCCAACAAACCATCCATCAAACGCATGACTACGTTTTACGCAACACTTCCTTCACTGTCGTTAGATTTTCCCGAATAAATCTCGATTGGCTAGGTATATCCACCTTTGATGCGCAGCTTGAACAGTTGGATTCCAAATTTGTAATTCTTGTTGGCAATATACTGCTTGAACTCCAATCGGACTCGAAAAGGTACGATCGGCTTATCAACAACTACGTCTTCCTCAGGAATAACAACGGATGCCGATACCTCGTTAGAATTGTTCAGCACTGTCCTAATCTTGAAGAGTCGGTCAGTTCCGTCCTGTTGTTCGTAGTTACAAAAGTGCAGGCTGTGTAATATAGCCTCGAATCTGTCTCTTGACATAGTTGACGAACAAATATTTCCGGCGTACAATTTCTTAGTTGATGTCGTGGTCAACCACGACTTCTCCGTCCCCCCTGTCTTATCATCCGATTATTGTATCATCACACCCTCATTCGTTGACATTCCTATAGTTCTTATCTTGCTTCATGTGCCGTTCTTAGTTAATCACCTGTGAGCACATCTGTAACATCTGCAATGTCTGTCTACGTATATAAGTGCTCGGAGGTGTTGTAGAATATGCTTGGCTCAATAAACGCTACCACTGAACTATCGACACAATTTTGGTTCATCGGCCAAAACAAGGTACGTTTGGAATCAAGGTACGTTTGGAATCAAGAACGGACAAGATCGGATCGTCACCCGCAGAGGTGAAGACAAGCAACCCGCAGAGGTTCACTGCCCGCAGAGGTAAAGACAAGGAACCCACAGAGATTCAGCACCCTTAGAGGTGAACATAACCTACTCGCAGTGGTAGGATACAGCAGAGACTCGACACTAACAGTGGTGCACAGTCTACGTCCATAGAAGTACAGGCGTAAGGCACTAGTACAATGCAGTCCATCATCTACGGTAAACCGATACTGCACAACGTTCTGACGCTGAAGTCGCTCATTGCGAACTTCCAGATATACACAGCTGCGCTGACTTACTCAGGTAACTCGGACGAGACACGGTATGAGGAAACATTGCAAGCAATAGACTTGATAAAAGGAAGTATGTCACAGATTGACGCTGCAAAAACGAGCTTGCAAACGCTAATCGAGCAAATGAAAGAAAGCTACGACAGCACCAAGAGCAAGGAAGAAAAAAAGATCCTTCAAGACATAGAGAAGATCGAGGAAGAGTCTCACTTCAATGACGTGATTAAAGAGGCTACCGATCTTCACTTCATGTTGGGAACACGCCTAACTGAGGCCATCAGCAACGGAAAGATGCTAGAGCGTAAACTAGGCATCTATGGCAAAACAGGACCACATACGGCGCGGCTCACGAATGACATCCACGAAGGGCCTCCAGGTTGGGATATTGAGAACGAAGCATCCAGACAGCCTCCTTTCACTGCTCCCCCAATCGCACCACCTAGAGTAAGTGTGCCAGTCTTCACTGGGAAGGAAGAAGAGTTCCCAGAGTTCTGGGCTGTCTATGAACAACTCGTACACAACAACCCGACACTCAGCACAACCGAAAAAATGCTTCTGCTCAAAGAAAGCCTTCATGGCAAATCGGACAAGTCAATTCGCGGTATACAATTGATCCCTCAGAACTACGAGTGGATGATCAAAACCCTACACAAGAAATATGGCAATAAGCCTTCCAACAGGGCCCGTATAGTACAACAACTGAATGAGTTACCACGAGCCTCCAGAACAGCGGAAAGCTGTGAGAAGGTGTTTGACGACATATGCATGCTTCTAAATCAAATGTTCTCTACAGGACAGAATATACGAGTTTGCAAAGACGCCTTATGGACAGAGGCGATACTAAGCAAATTCCCTAAAGATATTGTAGAGCCGGTACTACTTAAAATGCGAGAACACGATGACCTGACAGTATATTCCATTCTAGACTTCATCGGCGGCGAGATATCCGCCAAGGCGTACGTGCAGTCAAGACTCCGACCCTATGATCCAGCAAACCGAGAGAGTGCGTATCGCACAACACAACTCTGCGTAATTTGCGAAACTAGTAGCCATTCCACATGGCAATGCCAATCCAAGCTGCCCGTAAGCAAGAAACGAGACATCGTAGCTCAAAAGCG